GCTTAATAGCCTCAGGCAAAGGGTAATTTTTAACAGGTCCATGTCAAAATGGCAGGAGGTTTTGAGTGGAATCCCGCAGGGGTCTTTCCTTGGTCCAGTGCTATTAAACATATGTGTTAATGATTTGGATCTTGGCATAGGAAGCTTCTTGAACAAGTTTGTGGATAACACAATACTGGGGTGAACTGTAAACACATTGGAGAATGCAAGTACAATTCAGAAGGATCCTGACAGATTGGGAAGTTGGGCTAGAGCTAACAGGATGAAGTTCTGTGTAGACAAATGCAAGGCACTACACCTCAGGAGGAATAATAAAAAACACAAATACAAAATGGGGGGCTTCTGGCTGGATGCCAACTCTATGGAAAAGCACTTGGGAGTCTTGGTAGATCACAGACTCACTATTAGTCTCCAGTGTGATGAAGCCACACAAAAGGCAAATGTTGTTTTGGGATGCATCAATAGAACATTAGGTACAAAACAACACCATTTCATTTCAACTTCCATTTCACCATTTTGAAGGGACAGTGTTTCATTTCATCATTTGGTTTCAAAGCACTTTTCCATTTCCTGGGCCCTCAGATCTGTGCACAGGAAGACAGGAGGCTGCCACTGCCGCCTGGGACCAGTGCTGGGCACAGACCGTGCTGAGCGCTGGAAAGACTGCTGCTGTAGCTGGCCCTAGCCAGCAGCTGCAGCATACTGTCATCCCACGCACAGATCGGGGTCCCCTGCTCCTGGGGAGGGCTGTGTCAGACTCCTCCTGGGGGGTGCGGGCCACCAGATTTGCACGCAAGATGACAGCAGGCTGCTGCCTGGGACTGGTACTGAGGCCAGGAAAGCCTGGCTTTGAAACTTGAAATGTTTCAAAAGTTTCAAAACCTTTCAAGTACCCTTGTTTCGTTTTGAACCAGTTTTGAAGCCTTTTGTTTTGTTTCCATTTCACTCATTTGAAGCACTGTGTGCAGTTCAGAGCTCCACATTTTTAAAAGGAAATGGAGAAGTTAGAGAGGGTCCATAGGTGGGTAACAAAGATGCTACCCAAAATCAGCATGGATTTATGAAAAACCAATCATGTGGGCTGGATAAAACTACTATAAGGTGGTGAAGCTTGAAACATATCAAAACAGCTTCAAAATGAAAAACCTGACAAAATTTCGCACAGCCCTACAAAACATGGGAAGTGACAGTGCCTCTACTCAGCACTGCTTAGGCCTCATTTGGAGTGTGCAGTTCAGAGCTCCGTATTTTAAAAAGGAAATGGAGGAGTTAGAGAGGGTCCATAAGTGGGTAACAAAGATGATAAAGGGCTCAAAAGGCAAGTCATATGCAGAGAAGCTGAAGGAGGTAGGTATGTTCAACTTGTGGAAGAGGCACTTAAGAGAGGACATAAAAGCAGTCTTCAGATATTTGAAGGGCTGCCATAAAGAAGAGGGAAAGCACCTTTTCTATCTTGCTGCAGAGGGGAACATGAACTAATGGCCTGAAGTTGAAGCAAAGTAAATTTAGGTTGGATGTCCAGAAAAGGTTCTTCACTGTTAGAATAGTGAGGCGGTGGAATAGATTGCCTACATAATCTGTGGACTCTTCATCACTGGAGGTGTTCAAGAGGAGGTTGGACAGCCACTAATCAGGGATGACTTAGGGGTAGCTAAGTTTATTTTCTATTATGGTATCCCCCTCCTCCTACCCAAGACACACACACACTTTTTTCTGCTACATACTTCTGGGTATTTTTAAGCCTCCCCAGAGGCATTTGGTGTTGCCTACAGCTAAGGCTGGGGACTTCAACGGGGGTGTGTCAATTCTCCTGCTAGGAGCAAAGCCAGAGGTTCTTGGCTAGAGGCTGTTGTCCCTCCACTCAGAGTCAGGCCAATCATCATATTTGGGGTCAGCAAGGAATTTTACCTTATGGTCAGATATGTATGGAGAGTGGGGGGGGGTGTCTTCCTCTCTAGCAGAGGGTATGATGGACCTCTTGAGCATACACTGACAGCATTTTATAGAAGCAGGACATTGGTTGCTGTAGTTCACTTGCTTTATCTGTGGCAAGTTAGGGTGTTGGATCTCTGTTGTGTTGGGGTCTTGGGTAATCTTATGCAAAGTTTAAATTATGGTTTTTACAGGGTGGTTTGGATCAGTCAGGATAATTCTGCCACAGGCAGGGGGTTGGACAAGATGACTTCTGGAGGTCCCTTCCATACTCTATGACTATGACTAAGTGTGCAGAAGGAGAGGATCAAAAATCCTGGGGAGCTGCTCATAAGTGAAGTGGTGAAAAAAGGAAGGAAACTCAATTATTTGTTCTACATCCTGAAAATCATCCATAAGAGCAGGCTATATCCTCTTATCATTAAACATAGTGTAAGAGCAATGTTGTAGCCATGATGGTCCAGAACCCTATCATCATTCAGTCCTATGTAAAGCCTCCAAATATGTCAGAAAGAAGCAATCTATATAAGGTTCTTAGTGAGTCAAAGGAAATCTTTTAATCTGAGCTGGTTGCAAATTCTGATTTTCAATTAAATTTTTCATTGACTGAGTTATTTATTTTGAAGAACTTTCTTTGTGATCAGCCAGATTTATTGTTTTCCATTTACCAAAATACCACTGAACATTTCTTTTAAAAAAGTTTTAAAAATTCCAAAAAGTAATATAATTTTCAATGCTTTTTTCTAATTCCACTACCCTATATTATTTAGCCTGAAAATTTTATTTTACTTAAATTCTATATTTCAGAAATTATGCACAAACTCTCCAGAATAATTTACTTCTCTAGCTTAAACTAAGCTTGGGAAAGTTTCTGTTCACAAGACAACTTTTATAAGGAAATTAGGAAAAACATGAGGCAATGTGAAAATCAGAACATAATGGTCAATGGTATAACTGTAGCAGGAATATTTACACAACCATTATGAGAGCTGAGGTGATCCTGTATACAGGCCCCAAGTAGATCTGACTCCAAATACACCTGAGTAGCTGAGTATGACTGTCCAGGCTCTGATACACCCTTATTTATATAATCAGTAGCATAAATGGTGAGGGCAGAGTGAGGAGGGAGGAGGATGGTCACCAGCAATCCTAAGAATGGCCCTTTGGGGTGAGTGGGCATCAAAGTAGCCACCATCACAACCAGCGGTGCAGTAACTGCAACAGCCCAAGGTACAGAGATGTCCTGTTCATAGGATCATTAGGAAAGTAGGGTTGGAAGGGATGTCACAAGTTCATCTAGTCCAGCCTCTTCCTCAAAGCAGGATCATCCCTGTTATGCCTCTACATATCAATTAGGACCTTCTCCAATACGAGTAAGTACCTTAAGTCAGGCCTTATGTCACTAGTCAGAGTAGATGTATATTTTCAAGCTACATTGCAAAGCCCTTATTCATAACAATGAGCACAAATTCACATAGTACTGTAACGTTTTCAAGGCAATTACTTACGTAAGGAATTGCTCATCAGTATGAGTAAAGGCACCTGCAATCTGGTCCTTTACATGTTCCTGAAACCCCAGTTACTCAAAGCAGCATTCCAGCTGTATTAAGTACACTGCTAACACTGTACCACTTGCTTCCATTTGAAGACTATCCTATGTAGTACTGTTTGTGTGTGTGTGGGTGGGTGGGTGTGCAAAATGAGCCATATTTGATTTGGATTCAGCCCAAATCAGGGACAGTAATTCAATTTGTTGATTCAGATTTGATCTGGCCAAATCCAAAGATTCGATCCCCGATTTGATTTAGCCAAATCTGAAGATTTGATGCTGATTCTCTGAATCAGCAATTCAGCCATAGACACAGCTTTAAATGTTTTTTCTACATACCTCAAGGTACCAGGCATGGCTCATGGATGCTGCGATGCTGGGGCGTATAGAGCGTCCCACAGGAGTGCAGGGGGGCCCCCTCATGCTTGGCGGCAAACCAGGAAGTGGACCAGAAGTACTTCCGGTGCACTTCCAAGTCCACTGTCAAGCACGCAGGGAGGCCCCCTGCACCCCTTCGCAGCTCAGCGATCAGCCACAGGGTGACCCTGGGTGACCCCCCAGACCCAGAAGGCACCAGTTACCAAGCCAAGGGGAATGGGGGGTGGGGCGGGGACCTATGCACTCCGTGGTAGACCTGGAATTGGACTGGAAGTGCTTCTGGTCTACTTCCAGGTCTGCCCCCGGCACTCCTGTAGGATGCTTCATCTGCCCCACCATCTCAGCATTCACAAGCCGCCTAGTACCTTGAGGTAAGTAGAAAAAAAATCTAAAGCTGTCTCTATGTCCAAATCTTCAAATCTTTCTGAATTTCTCCAAATGGATTTGGACCGTTCCGATTCGATTCAGAGAGATTAAATGGTCTCCTGATTCAGCGTGGATTTGGAGATTCAGCCACTGAATCGAGCCGAATCTCCACCAAATCAAATCAGTGACCAAAGCTTCACACAGCCCTCATATTTTATTATTTATATATATATATGTTTTTACATGCCTCAGAACAGGAAAAAATGGGTACTATACATTCTTGACAGTCTGCTCCTTCTATTGTATATTTTAAAATATTGCACTGTAAAGCACAGTTAAAACAATGGTAAATATCAAAATTTAGGAGAGGAAAAATCAAGTTGAAGGGGTAATAACAAATGAGAGAGTCAATTTAAACAAGTCCTCTTTTATGAAGAAATGGATGCACTAAAAGAACATATTTTTCTGCCATTGAAACCAAAACATAGATTAAGAAAATTTACAGGACCAGAAGTTAAAAGACAGTATGCCTAGATGCAGTACCAATGTGGTAGGCACATACCAGAAATGTTAGAGACAGAGAGAGATTAGACTGAATCCATTCAACTGATAAACATATAGTTGTTTCTCCCATAAAGATAACATTGTAATTCAAATTATTGGTGAGTAGCAATATTGTCAATATCTTCCTCCTCTTCCCCAACTTTGTTTGCTCCTGACATTTATATTAAGCACTTTATAGCATTTAATAATGTTCCACTTAATTATTGCCTACCGGTCTCACTGGTGCCTGAACAGTGCTTTGATTCTGAGGGGAAACAAGAAAGGAAAATGTCAACATTAACAGAAGTCTTTCAATTTCATTTTCTACTCTATTGCTATTTTTATAATCCCACACATTGGAACCAAAGTTAAAGAGATTCATTAAGCCCTTAGGCTCCATAGTAACCCCGCTGCCTCCATTGCATGGCATGGCAGAGGGTTTTTCCTTCATTCGTGTAGGATTGTTCCTACAAGGGTTGTTCCTTCATTCTTGTAACTGTGCTTAGAGCAACTTCAGACAGCCTATACATGCCATAAAATTTTGTTTCGCACCAGAGTAGAGGAACAACCTTTGCAACTTGAGGTGCCAGAGGAACAGCAAAATCTGCAGTCCACAAATTTTTCCATACAGCTTTCACAAATAATCTTCTGCTGTGAACCCTTGAAATGGAGCATCCAACAACTGTAGTTGTCTTGGGGGGAGTGGGGGTTCTCACCTCATTTGAGCTTATAGTAGATCCCATTTTAATTCCTGTTGCATACAAGTCAGTTGTTGAAGGAGGTGGTTGAGAAGTGTATCCTACAGCTGGAAGCAATTCTGCTTACCGTCTTTAAATTGGCAGGTGTGGGTGAGTATGTGTTTTATAAGCAAACTCAAAACCCCGCCCCTCAGTCATTTCCAACAATTAAGCCACTCCCCCCTTTCCTGGATCCCTTAGAATGAGTCTCCTGACTCAGACAAAGGACAAAGACTATTGCTTCTACAGCTGCCTTGACTTTACTAGTGATACTGAAATAAGAGGTCTTCTTTTTTCCTCAGGTATAAGCTTTCTAGCAAATAAAAAGTAACATAGCACATCTATGTAGAAGCTGAATCCTGAAAGGATGCCAAAACATTTGTGACTCATTGGACAGCAGCCAATATGTATGTCTCCACTGCAGTCACATTAGCACAGAGAAGTATAGAGATTGCCAAGATAGCTTTAAATTAGCCAACATGGGTACTAATAACAGTCTAACTGCAGCTCCATGGTCTGCAAACTCACCTGAGGAGCAAGTAAATAAGCCCACGCAGAGCTGTGTGTTGCTGTGGTTATGCTGCAGCTGGTACCCAAGCCAGTTCATTTAAAGCTAAAGCTACCTCAGCACTACATACAAGGTTTGCCTGCAAAGGGCAGAACTGTACAAAGCTAAGCTAGCTATCTCTTCCACGCTAGGCTGGGTACTAGAAGCAACATAGCTGCATTAGCTCAGTGCTCTGCACAGCCTACTAGTAATACCCTGCTTCTCAGCCTGCCTAGTAAACCTACCTTCAGTGACTCAAGTGTAGCAATGCCCAAATATCAGACATTTTCCAGTACAACAGTAAAAAGATGGCTCCCATCCTAAAAAAACTTGCAATCCAAATCTAGATACGACATGCATGATCAGCATCAGGGAAGGAACAGGGTAGGAAATGGAAAGGGTTACAATAAAAGACTGCATGGTTTCAGTGTAGGAATGTGCTTACATTAGGAGTTCAGTTCAAAGGATGCTATTCCATTTTTCGTTACAGATCCTTAACATAAATCTACATTAAATGATTATGAACAATAAAAAATGCAAGAGCCACACCTGAGATGCACTGTCCTTGTACATCTCGTAAAACTGGTTTTTCTAGCCTTTGGAAGACAAGCGCTTCCCTAGAGGAAAATCTATGCGTCCTTGGCCTGATGAAGAGTGTTTGTGCCTGAAAGATTGCAAAGAAGAATTTTTTCCAAATATTTGAGTTGGTCTAATAAAAGATGCCAGATTTACCCAAAGAACCTTATCTACCAAAGTCTGATGACTTCAGGGATATTAACAAAGAGCCTGGGATATCCGCCTCCCACATTCCAGAGCCATATTGTCAGAGTTTCCACAGGCAGCAACTGTCCTACTAGCCCTTCCTAGACACATTGTGTTGCTCCCAAATTTACAGTATTTTTCCAACATCTTTAACAGTATTTGTCAGTGCTACCTTTAGCCACTGGCACATACTCTTTAAAGGTGCAATGGGATCTGATCCCTAATCCCAATAAACGTGTTTTCTCCTATGTCACACATAAACAGCAGGAGGTGCAATTATTAGAAATATTAGTTTCATCCGTTTTGTGAGAATCCAAATACAAACGTTAGCATGGCCAGGAGAAGGTTAGCTGCCATCATTTCCATCTCTCCCCACCCTCCAAATGGTACAGTTATGTGGCAAGATCTCCGATTCTCTCTGAATGAATTGTTCAAGGTCACCTTAGTTTGGGGGGGGGGGGGGGGGGGGGGGG